GGCTGGGAACAGCGACGGCGTTTGTCTGCGCGCGAGGCGACGCGGGAGATCCACCGGGGAGCCGGACGCGCGCGACCTGGGCGGCCGCAGGAACGCCGCCACTCACCCCTTTGCAAGGGCAGCTCTGCAGAAAAAGAGGGGTCTTGCAGGAGAGGTGGGATCTCAGCCTGCTTTTCAGTGCAATAGTTACAATCTCGCTGTGGATTTTTCAGTTTCGGTCACTTTAACATTTTGGCAGTTCTGAATTTATTCAAATTATTAGGCGCGGGTGCCCAAGTTTCACTCCTTCACTTCTGCACCACCGCTTGGCAAATACAATTATGCTGAAAAAAACAGCATACTTTTCTTTCTTTTTTCTCTTTCCAAAAAAAAAGTGCAAGAGATGGGTCACTGTTGTATTAGTATTCACTCACAAATGTTCATGGGGATTTTCCTCATCATATGCACAAACATCTTCCAAGAAGATTAATGAGTGCCATGCTGCACAGGATGGATTTTTTTTTTTCCCCTGAGCAGGGAACATAATTACATTTTAATCTGGAAAAATAGGTACACCAGCCTATCCCTTTTTGGCTTATAACTGTCTGGGTAACTTCTGTGATTTGTTGCATAATACTTGTTAAATCGCTTAGTGGGACAAAAGAACACTAAAGAAGCTCTGAAAATTATTATGAGAAGCCTTATGATAACAAAGAGCATTTCCTCAAATGGGCTGAAAAAAAGGAGACAACCAATATAAAACATCAGTCGTTTTCTAAACAGAAAAGAGTTCCTGTGTTTGTGGTGAGAAGAGAGATATCAATAATTTTTAAAAAAACTATGACATTTACCCTGTAATGGGACGTCTTTTAGAGGACAAATGAGGGTGGAAAAAAGGGAAAAAGGAATATATTCTGAGTCTTATAAAAATATTGTTATCACTGCAGATGAGTAAGGGACAGATGCTATTTATTTAAAAAACAAAAGACAAAGAGAAGAGCAACTGTGCAGAGACAGTGAGCGTTGCACGCAGAGGGTGCAGTCACCCATTCGTTTGCTGTTACTCAGCACACCAAATTAAACTTTGCTATCCTAGCAAAGTCCAAGCTGAGCTGCTTTATCGAATAAATATTTATAGTGACTGTTTATGGCACGTGAATACAATGGGAAGCTAAGGGACTTGCCAGGAACCGGGATCTGCTGTACAGCAAAACCGACTCGTTGCCAGTGTACTGCCAGTCGAGAGAGAGAGAGCACTGTTGTTCTCTGCAGGCCAGTGAGACGAGGACAGCCGTACAGACTTGGGCTGTGTCGATTAGGATTTCTGTGCCCAAAAGGATCAAACTTGACTTCACTATTAGTACCAAGCAATTAAGAGGAAACAAGACCAAAGCCTGCATTTCAGTCTTATCCTTCCTTACCTGCTATGCACTGTTTGTACCATAGCCTGGATGGACTGTGAAACATCTGTCAGCAGAACAGAATAATCATCCTGGGCTAGCAGGATTGCATTAAAACAAACCAGGGCCCTTTTTTCTATTTTTCCAATAGAGATGTAGTTTTTGATCTAATCACAGGATTTAGGGAAACAGGCTAAGTATGGGTCTGATCTGGCTTCCCAAAACGTGGCACAACAGGACATCACGTAGAGGAAAAGCAAATGCCTATGAAGGGCCACGTAGTCTGGGGAAGAGATTCCCTAGTCCTGGCAGCAGGTGGCTGCTAAGCTAAACTTAGTGAGCTAGCAATGCCTGCCTGTGCCTCCAGTTTGTCTCTTGAGTGTTCCCTATGAACATCCGAATGGGCAACAAAACTTCGAGCCTCCCTTCGCCTTACAGTGCTGCTCCCCACCCTCTTTGAAGACACGGAGTATGTACTCTAGCATGGCAGCCTTCAGGACATGGTATTTTAGGATGAGCAAAACCACCTCAGAACCAGGGTCCCCCGGCTTTCGTTACTCTCAGTCAAGCCAGGCACAGCCACCATCATCCTCCAAGCAGCCATGCAGTCAGGTGCGCTCGCCTCGAGGACGGATTTGGCCCACAAGCTGATAGACACACAAATTTACAGAGGAGGCTACTGGGCTGTTCAGGGCTAAAGACCTGAAGACTTTGTGGGACTTCCTGCTGTAAATAGGTTTGGGCTGCACTTGTCAGATTTGGAGACAGAATGGCAGCCGTTCCTTTTGCAACAAACTGGGTATCAGGCATTTGTAAGAATCTGAATACCTTCAGTTGTTTCTCTGCGATTTTTCATACAACAGTCTGATCAGCTGACGAAAACTTGCATTTATATCATGGCTTTTTATTAAGGTCTCAGCCTCATAGCTTTATTCAACCCTTGTCTGTAACAAGGACCTTTTATATAGATGTAAGCTATGGGAGTAAACACAAAATAATTTAGAGATTCATGAAGCTTATTATTGGCCTTTTTTAATGGAGGCAACCACTGACATACCTCCTTGTTCTTCTTTTGGAAAAACAGTTGCGGCTGCTAGGGCTGTGCAGTGAGGTCTATACGCCTCATTAATTTGGAGTATGACCTCCTGGAGCAGAGGCCTGGACTCCTGTGAGCTGGTAAAGGCTCTAAAACTGACCCTTTCCTGCCCTGACCATTTGACATGGTATTAGATTGGCCCCATTTCAGGAGAATGAATGCCTCTATGAGCATGTTTTCACTTAAATTACAACTAACATTACTGTAATGTCAAAAGAAAGAAGAATGGACACTTCTCCTGAGTCACAGATAAAGCAAATGCTTATTTTTTACAAAATGTAACATTTTACCTAACATCAGCGCTCATATATTTTGCGTTTTAGGTGATGGCTCTGTCTTTACTGATGTACCCAGTGCTGAAAACTCTAGCTCTTCAGCTGCACTCTGCTGTCACTGGCAGCTACGTCTCTGGGACCCATTCCATCGCCTTCATCAATTGTCTCAATGAGCAAATTGCCAAGGATATTGCAAGGTACAGTGACTCTTCCACTGCTTTGTCTGCTCGAGTTGTTCCAAAGCAGTTTTTCATGGAATAAAGCTTTTCCTTGTCACCCTTAGAGCAGTTGTACTTCTCTGCTGCTTCAGGGGTTTTGCACTTCCGTCTAAACGGGGCTCCTTTTCTCTTATGTTCTTTCTCTCTCCCCCCCACCAATCTCTCTCTCTCTCCCTGTGTCACATATCCCCTTATCAAGAGCTCTGCTTTCTACAGGAAAGATAACAGTTGACTCCATAGTCGATGCCATGGTATACATCAAGCCAATTCTCAATTTAGTCCACCGACTTTCATTTTCAAGAGCATTTTAAAGCTATGATGCTAAATCTCAGGGCTCTCAGATGGATTAAGCCCCAGCGCCATGCTCTCTGATCTGCCATAGTCACTCTTCTCTGCAACAACCCAGATAAATTCCAGGAGAAGCATTTATGGAGAGGAACAAAGCTCGGTGGTGCTAACATACAAATAAAAGACAAAAGTGGTCCACCGAAAACCCAGAACAGGCCGTCATGAGATGCCACCTGAAAGCCTGCACTCAGCTCACAAAACATACTTTGGCGAATGAGGGTTTTACCCTTACTTATTTATTTTTAACATGCAAGAAGCTTTGCATGCTGTTTTGCATGCTGTTTTTTCATAGATCACTCGGTCCCTGACTCAATAGATGGTTTGTTCAAAGTACTGGAACTATGTTGACTGAGGAAATGTTTACGGTGGACCATTAAGTTTCCTGCAACACCTCCTGTGAGCTGTTTTCCTTGCTATCCCGCTGCTTGCCAAAAACTCTGTCTTCTGCAATAGCAGAGCGTTCCCAAGTAGCCATTCAGGAGCTGACAAACTACTGAAAGGGGTTTTGTGTCATCTTAAATACTGCAACTATATTAAGGATTTCCAATAGAATAATATCTGTACCACTTGACATCTTCTGAAAAAAGAAATAACTGTGCATTGCTGGTGAAAAGATCATTTTGTTCCTGAAAATGCTTCAGCTTAGCAGCTTTGCAAACATTTTCCTCTATGTTCCTACCAGTGAAGGGTGAGGAAAGAGATCTCTCCCTGTAGCCCATACCCATTGCTGGGATATATGTATTTTGGTTACATTTTACTGGTGGACTAATTAGGCCGTAGTTCAGGAATTTGGATGAATGAACAAGGGTTGTAATGGCTGACACAGGGCATCTACATTTAATTTCCCGCCCACCTTTTTCCTAGCGCTCTCATGTTTATTCTTCCTTTACGTTGCTCAGTGGAGCACTAGCTTCCAAGGCTCAGACTGCAAGGAATTTCTCTGTTAGAAAAAGGAGTTTAGACTTTTTGAAAGCTGATTAGCTGCAGGTAAAATTCAGCATCTGACTTGTTCATTCGCATCAGCTCTAACCCGGTTTATCTGGATTACTATTAATCTAAAATCCTCGAGGAGAAGCCTCTAGTTTCTCCCTTGCGTTTGCTATGAGAAGTTGAGCCCTTTGGGGTGGGTGGTATGACTGTTTGCATCTCACAAAATTTAATTAGCAGCCAAACGGTCCTCAAGTCTTTGGCTTTGCCTTATATTTGTGCATATCTTTTTCTCTGCTTTTCTGCTTATTAATATTTCATGTCTCAGTTCAGAAGCTATTGTTTAGTGAGGCAAGGACAAAGAAACACATTAAATACTCAGCCCAAAGATATCATGTATTATGCAGATGTTTTCCACCGACCATGTTCCTCTTCTTATAACGTTTCCAGTTCCCATGGTGGCCAGCTATTGCTTCTCAGCTCTTTAGGACAAAGTTCAGGATATCTCTTAGGACAGAGCAGTAGCAATTAGAAGGTACCTACTCAAGTCTAAAAGGTTCCTATGCTACAAGAGGATTTGAAAATTGCACGCAGCAACAGCAAAGTGATTTGTACCGCGTGTCTTACATGATGAACTCGGGGATATCTGCATTCATGCTGCTGCCGTTCATTGGTATAAAGATTAACTCAAGATGCTTTACGAGCATTAAATTACTAGAACTGGCTACACACGATTAGAGCAAACCAAGCTGGCACCTCCTTGGAAAGCCGTCCTCTCAGGCCCACGTTCCCTCTGAGTCATCAGCTAAGATAAGGACAATCTCTGTCACCTTGCTGAATTTAAACATTATTTCCAACAAAGAGAGTTAGCTGGGTCCATGCACTGGTTCTCTCCTGCGTCCCCTTCTCGGGGCGTTTCTGAGTGCCTCATGGTTTAGGAGAGCATTACTGAAAGTTTAACCCTCCTGACTGCTTTCTTACATGCTGCTGCAGGGTTTCTCCTTCGGGAGGAGGCATGGTGGTGTGAACGCTGCATGCCCTTCCTGCAGCACCCCTGAGCAGCACACCGCCACGCTGCTGTTGGCGGGGCCTCCCCCTCTGCCAGAATTTGCAGCCACAGACTAGCAGGAAAAACCTGGGAACCAGTCAAAAAATCCTGAAGATCATTAACACGGAGCCAAAGATTATTAACACAGCCACTGCCACAGCGGCGAGGCAACTTCGTAGGGTCGGTGGGAAGAGCTGCTTTTCTCGCAGCTCCCAGGCTTTTCCCATTTCCTTCCTGCCCCACAGTGGAGCCCATACAGTTGTCCCTACAAGGACAACTTTGTCTTGTGCACGTCATTGCAAGGTATAAAATATAAAATATAATAGCCAGAGAAAGCAGGCCTAATGATAAAGATGTGCAAAGGAGCTTATACACGTTTGAGCAAGAGACCAGTTTTCCTTATGAGTCAGAGGCCATATTACATTACATTATGTAGTTGCATATTAGCACCCCACCTGGACGTCTTCAGGTCACTGCCAGGGAAGAGTTAGCTTTAGTGCTCGTTGCGCTCATCTTCAGTGACATCTTGGCCAGTGACCAAGTCTATTGTATTTTTATAGTTCATAACTTCATCATTTTGGAACGTAAGAGAGTCTTACAGTTTGCTTTATAATCACTTCCAATCTGTATAGTAATCTGGATGTAAGGATAATACATTTTTAACTTGCTTGGAGTCAAAAGCTAAAACTGCCAACAGTTTTAGGTTGGAGCAATAGTTAACTGAGTACAAACATGGGAATGGGTTTACTTCTTCAGCTTACTAAGGGTTAATTCTAGTAGGCTGTTGCACTGAGCCTTTCAGTATCTAGTAACTACCTGCTCCTCCTCTGCAATTCAAGGTCATGTCTTTGACCCAGGCGTAATTGCTAGAAGTTGAATGTTTGCACTGTCAAAGCACTTGGTACACAATAGTGCCCAGAGAGGCTAGAGTTAAAGAAAAACACAAGTGATGTTGCTAATGCAGCACCTTTAAAAGCACCTTACAGCCTGCCAGAGGGATGAGACTGTCGCCTCTGCAAGGAGTGCCCAGACATTGCTGTGGTCAGAAAACACAACATTTGACCTAGTTTTTCTAAAAATCCGCCCTGAAATTGCTTCAATACTCTTTAATCAGTTAAATATCACTTCTCCTGGCAGACCCAAGCAGCTCTGCAATAACAAATCAGCCCACAAGCAAAGGAGGAAGCCCGAGGGACAGAATTTATTTGTGTTTCAGATTTCTAAGATGTTTTGTGTAGGAAAACCTTAATGTTGTTAATTTAACAAGGTCCACCTTTAGTTTGCTGTGTGAGGAAGAAGCACAGTTTGACAGTGTAAATATATGACTGAGAGAGAAGCTCCTTCATGCTCATCCCAGCCCTGGTTCTTCATGGCCCAGCACCTCTGTAGCTGCCCCTGTCCTCGCTGGTGAAACAGGGACAGCACTAACCCTGGGCAGGGTCCCCTGCTGGAAGGGGAGGCTGCCCCTCACACTGCGCAGCACAGGTCCTGCGTGCTGCTCCAGGCAGGAGTGACACTGAGTCTTCCCACTTGGCAGCAAGGGCTCGCAGGGGTAGGCCCAGCCATGCCAGGAGGCCGAGCTGAACCGTCTCCAGCTGGAGGTCACCTTTCGTCCTGCTTTCCCAGGGTGATAATTAGCCACAACTCCCCTGTTGCTACTGTCGGATCTGCTTCTTGCAGTCTGAGGCAGCACAAGGCTAACTCCTCTGTGGCCAGAGGAGAGGGCAGAGCCGCAGCGAGCCATGGCAGTCACTAACTCACCCTCCCTGGAGCCAGGGCAGCCACTAACTCACCCTCCCTGTTTTATCCAGGGCCATTATGGATAAGAAGCTGGCTGCCAACGTGAACATCCTGCCCAAGACTTCGGCCCTGTAAGTTGTGCTGAATATTCCTCCAAAGGAGGAAACAAAGCCAGGCTGTCCCCAGTGGCGGCGAATGCCCACACGCCTCAGGCCATGAGGAGCGGAGACCGTTTCCAGGAGGCTGCTGGTTCTGTTTGTTCTCAGGGATGACAGAGATGATCCTCACCCTCGCAGGGTGCTTTAAGCTTATTAAGGAGTGCAGATGCTCTATCTGCCAGTCGGGCCCATTTGTTTATTGGTTACTTAGATACAGAGCTCTAGTGAAGAGCAAAGTGATTTATGACCCTGAGGATAAGGCTCCTGTTTTTAGAGGACTTAAACAGAAGCTAAGATAGGGACAGAAAAGGCTTTTGCAGTATTAAGGAGCGCTTTTTGTAAGGAAGGACAGTATCTTTGACGAAATAAGAGCAGCTGTGCTCTGTCAGGTACCTTCAGCCATCCATGTGAAGGGACTAGATTTGTTCTGGAGGGAAGGAAGTTAAGGAAGGAAGTCACAAAACGGCCCTTCAAACTACCCAGAAAGGTTTGAGCATCCTTCCCAGCACAGAAACAAACTCCTTGCTTGCTTGCACCTAGAAGCACCCCTTGTCTGGCCTAGTTGGGAGACCCGAGCAGTCCCTGCATCACAGCCTCCCTGCTGGAGGGGCTCCCTCATAGCTCAGCTGAGGGTCCCACATAGCAAACTCAGTAAACCCTCCACTTCACTTCCTTGTGGTTTCCTACCAACTATAACGACCGGAGCTAACGACCTACTTTAGCTCACTTCTCAGACTGCCTCCTGCTCAGTAGACACAGTGACGCTTCCAAATGACTCCTCATGCAAGGAAGCCAGCACACAGATGAAATCACAATGGCCTTCTGTCAAGATGAATGTTTCAGAAGGTCATATCTGACTCATGAGAAGTAAATCTCCATTGCTGCAGAGAAGGGGAGAAAAAAGTGTGGCTTTGGGCACAGCCTCCTGACTTTGCCAAGCTGCTGTTCCTGCAGATGCCCACCAGCTCCCCTTGCCTTTGTCCCAGCCATTCTCAGCCCTGCAGGTCCCTCACGCCTGGCATAGCCAAGAAGGCTCTGGTCTGTAAATCTGTGCTGTATGAGTACTGATGTTAGGTAAAATGTTGCATTTTGTATCTATATTTGCTGCTACTTTTTTTCTTTTAAATCTAGGTATTTTTGGAAAGGGGAAATAGAAGAATCCACGGAAATACTGCTAGTAAGTGTCAAGCAATGCCTAATGCATTTCACCCCACCTCCACGGGTCAGTGAGGAAGACCTCTGGAGCCCAGGGACTGGCCCATCCTGGGGGTGTAACGCCAGCCAGCTGGAGATTTGGGGCGGTACTCAGCAACCATGCACCATGCAGCTTCCCCGAGCATTCACCTGCAGGCACAGCAGCCATGGCCAAAGGGGCCAGCCCAGCTCGGCCCCTCATCTGGCCACCACAGGGGACAGGCCCTGGGGAGCAGCCTGGGCAGCACCGCCAGGCACCAGCGCTGGCTGTGTTAGATTGGTAGAGTGGAACTGTGCATGAAATATTGCTCCTTACCCTTTACCTCTCCTTGGTTTTTTTCCTGTTTTTCTTTTTTCTCTCTCGACAGTTAGTGAAAACAAGGACGTCTAAAATAGGTGAATTGTCCAACTACGTCAGGTGAGGTTCTCGCTCAGGCAGAGCACTAGGTTTCCTATCTAAGGTACGTTGCGATCTCATGCTCAGGTAGGTGTGAATCAGAATTTCTCAATCCCATTGCCCACCTAGAGGGTTTTTAAGCGCTCCTGGACATTCCTGGTAAGCCAAAAAGCAGACGGTGCATCAGCTCAAAACAGATTGGAAGGAATATCAGCTATTGAGCTTCTAAGCTTAAACCAGCCTCTCGGGATTAGGAATGAGGAAGGATTCTCCTTCTGCTAATACAGGTTTTTCCCTAACTGCCTCCTGGCAGGATTTCCTGCATCTTCCCAAGCACTGAGTGTTGGGCACAGCCAGTTTTGGGCCATAGGCGCCTGGCAGTCAGCTGCTGGCTGTAGTAAACCTCAAACCCAAAGCAAAACTCTCACATGGCAGAAAGATGATGTGAATGCTTTGAAGTGAGTGAAAAGCTTGGGGGCATGGTTGATACATACCGCTGGGAGTGGAGACCTCTGTTTCCTGTGCCTGTGAGTCACAGCGGGTCTGTTCCTGCTGCAGGGATGAATCCGTGACACTTTCTGTGCATCTGCTTCCACTTCAGATCCATCCATCCCTTTGAAATTCCTGAAATCATCAGCCTGCCTATTGACCAAGGAAACCCACTCTACCTCAAATGGATAGAAGAAAGCATCCCAAGAGACTGAAATGAGCAAAAGCAGCCTTGCTTTTGGGGAGACCAGATGAAGCATGCTTTGCTGTGCCAATCCCTTCCCTGTGCAGGCAGGAGTTACACATGCACAGGGAAGCAGCATATAACTTCATGAGTTTGCGGTAGCACAGAAATTTGGGATTGGGAATTTTGTTTGTACTTGAAACATCCCCTCCTTTGCCTGACCCTGTGCCCCACGGAGTGTGTAGCAGCATGGAGGCAGTAGAGGCTGAAACAGGGAAGGCTAAAGTGCACTGAAGCTCATTCGAGCATTACAGAAGGAGATACATGGGGTGCCCAAGGCAAGACCTTGAGACCTCACAGTGTCTGGTGCTGTTTCAGGCCCTCAGCCACAAGCGCAAGGTGTGCCCATGGCAGCCCCCAGCCGCGGGGTAGAAGGGGCGTGCAGGTGAGCTGCTGGGCTGGCGGCACCAGCAGGAAGGGCCAGCCAGGCTCTGCACGTCTCCATGCGTGGCAGCACGGCATGGCCCTGCTGCCTGCCTCCACAGCAGCTGTCCCAGCACCCCGCACAGCTCTGTCTCCTGCTTCCCAAGCCAGGTGGAAGCAGGATGCAGCAGGGCACCTTGTGACACGCTGGCTCACGCTCGCTCCTGCGGTCCCCCAACTTGCTGGTTTGTCTTGCAAAAATCTAAGGGAACAGCAAACATTTAAGCAGAGGCTGCCAAGTGTTTGCCGAGATCCCCACTGTGTGCATACCCTGCCTGCTGAGACAGCGGAGCTGAGGCTGAGGATACCCACTGCCACCGCAGAGGAGCAACGTGCCCAGCCGTGCCACCGCCCGTTTGGGTGTGCGGGGCCAGGGCAGGCTTTGCCCTTCTGCAGGAAAGCACAGCCCCAGCCCCAAGCATCCCCAACCTGTGCCTGAATGGTTGCTTTCTACCCAGGCCAAAGTGAACCTTGTAAAAAGATGTTCAGGTTAACAGTTTAATGTAATGTAAGTTATGAAACAGTACTGAGATATTTATGTGATTGGGAAGCTAATAAACAGGAGCATTTTTTTTACCTGTACAGCCTCTCGTGTTGTCACAGCCTTTTTGGCCCAGTGTGAGCCATGAGTGCAGCAGCAGATAGCTGGACCTTCCTGGGCAGCGCACTGCAGCGAGACGAGGCTCAGCACTGGCTCCTCAAACCAGGAGGGCAGCCTGGAGAAAGATTCAGGGGCAAACTTTGGGGTGGGAGAGGCAGAACTCTGCTTTCCTACCAGCAACGTTGTTCTCAGAGGGCAGCAAACTTGTTAGTGCTGAATCGGAACAAGCAGGATCCCAGCTGGGCACTTTGGCAAAAAGGAGCAATGAGCACATAAAGCAAGCACCAGCAGGCCAGGTCTGTATCACACCCAAAATGAAGCTTTATTTATCCCCTGTCAGGGCTATATTGTGCCATGTGAAAATTTTATGCTAAAATTAAATGGGTGGGGACCAAGAGAGATTTTTTTTTCATTGTTGTTGTTCTCTATTTAACACTCTGACTAAAGGAAAACATTTTAGGACATAAGGACATAAAAATTTGTCTGGTGAGGACATGGAAAAGGCAGCAGCCTTGGCACTGCTGGAGGGCCACCAGCCCGTGGAAAAGATGGAGGAAAAAGCCTGGCTAAGGAAAGACCCAGCCAGATCTGCAAGGACATAACAAACAGACCCTGTCTACACAGCCTTGAAGATTGAGCACTAGCTTGAAACGGAGCCTGCATGGTCCCTACATTTCGCACCGACCAGCAAGCCTCGGGCCCCTGGCCAGGGCACCCCCCTGGACAAAACCCCGTCCCTTCCAAGGGCCTCCCTGTCCCTCCACGTTACAGCGCAGGGCTCAGCTAGACAGCACCGACACTCACCTCTTCACATCCTTGCCGGACCGGTGCCGCCTTCCTCACGCATCGTGGCAGCATCAAACCGGGCAAGGAGCGATTCCCACAGCTATCGCTGCGCTTGTACCAGCGGGCACACGCGGTGCCCTGAAGGAAGCCGTGACATGTGCTTTGAGCCGTATTTCATCAAGTAGCAACAGTGCCCAGAGGAACTGCTAAACAAACTGCTGCAACTGCTGCAAACTTTACATAGAGCAAACTCTGCCTCCAGCTCATAAGCAGGAGCTGGCAGCAGCTTTTAGAATTAGAACTGGCAAATTATAAAAATATTACCACATTTTACCTTCCATGACCATCAAATGAAGCCAAACCACTTTGAAAACATATTTACATAGTAATTATGGCTAAAAGCTTTCATATATTGTCATATTTATGACATGTTTATGAAATGTAAACCAATATGTAGATATAACTTTAAAGAAATATTTGTGCATGGGATAAGTAAAATACATTTTAGAACTTATTACATCATGGCATTTTCAAATAGAACAATCTGGAAGGTTAATTCCACTGTACTTAATGTCAGCTACTGTATTTATGTGTACAACTTGAAACGCTTTATTCTTTCAGAACTGTCAAACATCTGCAAGTCCAAAAAAGTAAATATCAGCCCTATATTCCAGAATATCAGACCAAAAGCATACGAAAACGTCTCTGTTATTTACTTCCTCTTTGCAATAATTAATATTGCATATAAATAATCACAATTAAAACTTCTGACAGGTTTCAGCCTGTAACGAATATTACTACCAAGTTATAAACATGTTATAATCATGTTACATATCTGAACAAAGAATTTTTAACAGGAATGATGAAACAACTTTAATTATAGTGACAGTACAAGATTCTGTTGTAATAGACAAAATATGATGCTCCTTACTCTAAATAATGTAGAGTTCTAAATAAAAGTCAAAGACGCTTGCATTTTAGCCTAACTGAAGCCTGGTGGCAACATATGCTATGTGAGTCGGAAGCATACCTCTCAGCTCGGACACTTAAATCAGACAGTTCTCACCCCGGCTCCCACGCTTCGCTTTCCAAAAGCACCGGGCACAGGGTCACGCTCTAACGCCAGCGCCGGAAACCCTGGAGAAAACTGCTGGTTTCCCCACAAAAATCAGGAACCTAGACGCTTCTCAGTTAGCCTTCAGGGGTCTCAGTATAAAAACAGAAGCAAACAGCACACAGGATTTTTCTCCAGATTGCCTCGGTAGCGATGAAGTCGTAACAAACAGCATTATTTGACAGAAGATGCAAATTGCTACATAAATGAGACTTTCCGAAAACAAACGTCCTCGCTGTCGGCAACCACAACCGACAGAGACCCAACCGGTCCAGCAAAGCAACGAGCAGATGCAGGCCACCAAAACGTCCCGCGGTCGGGGAAGGATCCCCAGCGACAGATGCCAGCTCAGGCCGGGGGAACACCCCAACGGCGTACGGTAACTCGGCACAGGTGAACTAAAAGGTAACTAAAACCTGCCATCTGTTAGAGCGGCCGAGGCAGCCCAGCGCCTGGCCTGGGCGACGTGGGCCTCGCAGGGCACCGCCAACATCACCCCCTCGGCTGCAGGTGCGCCAAGTCCCTGCGCTATCAAACAAATTAAACCAGCGAACCCCCAAACCTCCCCCCATCACGGATATTCTGCTATGTTATTTTAAAAGTAACCGAAGCAGAAAAGTTTTATTTTTAAGGACAATGCTCTGGCCTCCTGTTTGCAACGCAGCCTGCCCCACCGCAGCCCCGGCGCTGGCGGCC